ATGGTTCCAATGGCCAGTCCAACATAGTTTAGAATCATAGACAGTTAAAACTAGAAGGACCTTGGAGATCTTCTAGTCCAATCCCAACATTTGACAAAGGAGTTAACTGAGGTTTGCCCATAGAGGACATGTAAATTATTCCAAGTCATACAGTGAACTATTGAACTCACCAATGAGGAGAATTAAAGCACTGGGCTGAGACAAAATATTGCTCAATTCTCGGTGGCTATTAGACCTTGGCAATGGAGCATAGAAATGTGCTTCCTTAGGCTGCACTTCATTAAACACCATCATTCCAAACCTCTACTCCCCACTACAAATATAAAAGAAGGCACCCTTTGCTTCTATCCTAGGGACTTGAGCCTGGTCTTCATCTGCTGTGCTGATTCCTCTCCTCCTCAGGGCCCATCCTCAGCCATGTGGAGGATCCTCTTCTTATTCTTTGCCATTATCTATGTTCTCATTCAAATTCCCCCAGGTAAAGGAATCTTACTAGTCAGGAAATCCTGATGAGGCAAAGGGCAGTGGAAAGAGCACTGACTTTAGCACCAGAGCATTGTGTTCAAATCCTGCCACTGCTGCTTACTTCTCTGTGTGTCTTTGGGAAAATCACTTAACTCCTCTCTGGGTCTCCATTTTCTAAAATGAGTGGGGTGGGCTAGATGGTGTCTAAGGCCCCCTTCCAGCTCCAGACCTGTGATCTTATGATTAACAGCAAAGTTGTTCTGTCTTAGACAAAGAAGCTCTCATTAAACCAGGTAAATGGTACTTGCTAGAGCTGATCTCACAAGGGTCCCATCCTGGTATATTACGGTTCAGAGAATGGGGCCTCACTAGCACAGGAACTTGAAAAATATATGGAAATGGGATAGAGGAGGGAAGGACAACAACAAATAGTCCTCGAAGTTGCCTCAAGCAGGCCGATTGTTTCAGAGAAACAGAGACGGTGTGCTCTGTGGGTAGATAAAATAGATCTCCCATTCTTGTCTTTCTGACTGAGGCCAGATCTGTGCTTCTATGACCAGAGTAGGATTCCATCCTTGAATTCTGACACTTCTTAGGGTCAGGGTAGGGGAAAGTCACATAATATAAGATAATCTTTTCCCTCCCCCATGATTTGTGCCAAACTAACTTTTGGAATTAATTTAATTGTCACATACATTTGCTTTTGACTTTAGGTTGCAAAGCAGGACTTGAAGAATACCAGCTAGATACAGGAGGTAAGTTCCCCTGCTTCTGTTACTTAAATCTCAATAGTAATAATTCATATATTTAATAATTCTTCAAGTTTTATAAAGCACTTTCCTTGCAACAACCTATCCAGCTATTTTTTATTCTCTTTATATATTGTGAAAATGAAGCAGGGGAGGGTGGAGAGAGCCTTGTGAACTGGCTTAGCCAGGATCACATCCTTAAACTATCCAAGTGTTACTATTTCCCTTCTATAGATTGGGAAACTGAGACAGAATGGGAGGAGGTGACATGACTTACCCAGGGTCACATAGCTAATAAATATTAGGGGCAAGATTTTAATTAAACTTTCTTGATTCCAGTTCCATCTCTTTTTCCACTACACCACAGTATTGGAAACCTTCCTGATCTTGGCTCTGGGAGTTTAGGAAACTGTTAGAAGCCATAAAGGGGCTATCTTGGGGCAATTGCCCACTGCCAATTGTTATCTTATGCTACCTTCCACAAAATATCCTCTTCATTCCTTAGGCCACGACTTGTCCATGGTAGTCCAGGCTGGCTTGCTTAGTCAGACAGAATACAGTGCTAACCAGCCTTCAATCCCCACATCAAGCATTTAACATTTCACAAAAGTCTCTGCTCTACAGGTCACAAGCTCCTCTGCCATAATTAGCCATTTATCAGATAAGTGGATGCCAGTGGTCACCAGGAAGACTAAGCAAGAGAATGTGGATGATTCAAGCTCAAAATTCTTGCCAAGTCTAGGAAGAAAAGATTAATTCATTCCAAATCCATGCCCTTAGTGAAGGTGGGTCAGCCATATGCGGGAAGGATAGCAGATTACTGTCTCCCAGGTTATAGATTTAGAGCTGTAGGTTTAGGTTAGAGGTTAGGTTTAGATCTCTGGTTAGAGATTTAGGCTATAGAGATTTATAGTAAGAGATGATAAAGATGGGAACCATAAGGGACCATAAAGATGTGGAATAAAAGAGGTTAAGTGATTTGCCCAAGGCCATACAACTACTAAGTATTAAAGGTAGGTTTGGAACTCAAGTCTTCTTAGCTCTCAGTATAGTACACTATCCACTATGCCACACGGAGACTTAGTTAAAATAAGATCAAATAATTTACCACTGGAGATTATCTGGCAACATTTTATTGGTTTCTATATAGCCAAAAGGGGACAGGGGCAGGCAGCTCTCTACCTCCTCTACTAAGACTCTGGGCAATACTTCTCCCCAAATGGAATTTCTGATGTAGTATTTTGTCCATGTGATTTTGTTAGTATTTTCACCAGCTTTAATCCGATGAAAATCAAAGCTTGGGGTATCAGCGGTGAGTGTGAATAAATTCAACTTAGGCTGCTACTCCTCACAGAGAGAAAACTCAGCCCTACTCCTACCCAGTCCCTATTCTCCCCTACCATATATTTCCACCATTCACTCTGCAATTCTTTTGTGGTACAGTGAGAGAATCTTCAGATTAAGAGTCAGAGGACCTGAGTTCAAATTCTAATGGTACACTTACCATCAATATAACCTTGGACAACTCAATTCTCTGGGTCTGAGTTTTCTCATCTATAAAATAAGGAGACAGGACTAGAGAAATTCTGAGGTCTTTTCCTGCTCTAAATCTATTCTCCTAGATCTGTGATTTTAGAACTCTTGCTTACACATTCCTTTTATCTTCTGGTTCTCCCTGAAACTTAGCTTTTTCCTATACCTCTTGTTACTTTCTGCAAGTTTTATCACTTCTTAATTAACACCTCCCCCTGTCCCGACATCCAAGACCATTAGGAGGTGTTAACATCCTTTTTAAAATTTTTTTCTAATTACATGTAAAAAAAATTAGCATTCATTTTTTTAAATGTTGAGTTTCAAATTCTTTCCCCCCTTTCTTTCCTCATCCACTCCTTTGAGACAGCAAGCAATTTGATATGGTTTATGCATGTGCAGTCACACAAAACATATTTCCATATTAGTCATGTTGTAAAAGAAAACAGATCAAAAAAGAAGACAAGAAAAACAAGGAAAGCTTAAAAAGTATGCTTCAATCTGCATTCATACCCTATTAGTTTTTTCTCTGGAGGCAGATAGCATTTTTCATTATATGTCTTTCAGAGTTATCTTGGATCATTGTATTGCTTAGAATAGCTAATTCATTCACAGTTGATCATTGTATTGTATTACTGTTACTCTGTACATTTTCCTGGTTCTGCTCATTTCACTTTGCATCAGTTCATGTAAGTCTTCCCAGGTTCATCAGAGAGCATACTGCTTGTCGTTTCTTATAACACAATAGTATTCCATCCCAATCATATGCCACAACTTATTCAGCCATTCCCCAGCGGATCAGCATCCCCTCAATTTCCAATTCACTAACTTAACATCTTAGTCTCTACTGACTCTTCCAGACCCTTCTTCTGCCACCATCACTCAAGAGCCAATTCTATCTTTCAGACTCACCCCATTCTGTCTAGATACTTATTGATGTCACATAGAGACCTCCTAGATACTCTCTCTCCTAATTAGTAAGTTCAGTGGCTGACTTCTAGCCTGTTTATCCATCCCAAATGTCTCCTTCAAATACTTCCAACCTCACAGTTCCTCAACCACTTCTACTCCCATTTCTGATTTTTCCAATCTACCTCAACTACACATGGAAATGTAGACAACATCCTAGCTCAACTGAATTTTTTCCATAGGCTGAAATTCCAAATTATGACTTTTTTCTAACTTACTCTTCACTGTACTATGTTGTTTCTTTTTTAAAGTCTGCTTTTCACTTCTCTGTAGGCTTTGCAGTTTGTATAGGCATGTCTTAAAAAGCTGGACCTAGGTAGCTGATCTTTTTTGGGTTTCCTATTTAAGTTTGGTAGCATTTTCACTTTTATCCATCTTATCTACCCCCATTAAAGGGAAAGCTTCAAGAAAAGAAAGACTGAGTCATTTTTTTGTTGTTGTTGTTCAGTCATTTCAGTTGTCTGACTTTATGACCCCCATTTGGGATTCTCTTGGCAAAGATTTCTTTCTCCAGCTCATTTTACAGATGAAGAAATTGAGACAAACCTCATTCAGGGTCACAGAACTATTAGATGTGTGAGACCAGATTTGAACTCTGTCTTTCTGACTCTAGACCCAGTGCTCTATTATCCACTGTGCCACCTATCTACCCACATCATTTTCTTCCTTGGTAACTTTGAGGACCCCAGTGTATTCAGTGCAGACTGTGAACCCATCTTATACATGTCAATAGTTACATGGGGCCTTCTATTTCCCTCTGCCCATTCAACCAATTTAAGCACCTTAGAAAAGTGTCAATGAATGTCTGATCTTAGCAGGTCTTTTTCCAGTGCAGGTGAGCTTAAGATCTGTGCCACATGCAGGCTTGGGAGAGGAAAGTGTCGCAGAAAATGTAAAAGTGATGAAACAGTTGCTGGATCCTGTAAGCAAAGCATGCTCTGCTGCCGTAAAAGAATACCATGACCCAGTCAAGACAATCTTCACTCTGAGAAATGGAGCCAACTATTCATGGATCCTTATTGCCAAGGTTCAATGGGCTATCTCTGGAATGTAACCCTCGTGTCAAAGACTCCTTCCTGTCACAAAAACTCCAGGGACACTTTGTGGGCTTCTCAACTTCTTTCTGGCTTATTCTGTCCCTGTTGAGGTAAAACCCAGAAATGTCTGTATCTGTAACTCCTCACCAAGGCTATATTGCACTCAATAATTTTATTAATTTGTCTCATTTTTTAGATAAAACCTGTGTCAGGATATAGCCATACACGGCCATCAGCTCGCCTTACAAATACTCAGACTCACAAAATATCAAAACACAAAATAGCCTTCATTTAGTTTTTTTCTCTTTCTTCCATTTAAACTCAGTTCAAACACTACCTTCTTCATGAAACCTTTCTTGGTCTTCCCAACTAGCACAACCTTCTCTTCCTCTCTAATCACTTTGTATTTATTTTGTATAACACAATTACATATGTATATGCTGTCTCCTCCAATAGAATAGAAGCTCCTTGAGATCAAGGGGTTTTTTTTTTATTTTTATCTTTATATTTTCAATGCCTACCAAGGTTCCAGATACATACTAATTACTTAACAAATGCTTGTTGATTGATTAATTTCATTTACACAATAAAAGACATAGAAAATATTCAATGCCTGTGTCAACAAAGAGTCAAGATAGCCCAGTCCTCATTGCAGAGGATCTCCACCTTCCTCTAGAACCTCTACATTATTTATTATTTACAGTACTGTATTGGCTGAGTCCTCTTTAAGGGGATGAATTCAAAGTTTGCTTTCAGTATGAGAGCTCTAAGTCTTGTATTCCTTTCAGCACCTACTCTGCTTCTATTCTCCACCTTACCACTCTTTCATTGGTCCTTCTCTGGCACAGAATCAAACAATCTAAGAACTGGAAGGTATCTCAGAGGACATCTGATTCAACTCATATCTGACCATTAGTCAGTCTTCAATCACACTACTGCCATTGTCATACATTACGAGTAAGCATTGTGGTCCTTTTCAACAATATTCAGTCCTCCTTCTCAGTGCTGCCATTGTCCTTTGATTCTGACCACCGTCACATCCCAGCTCCCAAAGAACAATAGGTCCTCTCTACTCCATCTGTATGGTTCTCACCAGCATCCACAGTTGCTATTTAATATCTATATGCTCACCTTGTAGGAATAGAGGAAACCTACATGTAACAGCCTTATGTTAAATTCCTTTGCTAAATCTAAATTCCTAACCAAACTTCAAGGATTACTTCCTCCATGAAGCCATCACTGGTTATTTTAATCCAAAGTTATTCTCCTTTCTCTGAATTCCTACATATACATGTGTGTATATCACAAATGCATTAAATCTGGAAATTAATTTAGGTAGTATCATCATTTTTATTGTATTGGCAAAACCCAATCATTATCAATGACTAACCCTAAAATCATTTGTTCCCCTTTATTTCTGTAAAGAGTATCTTGTAGTCATATTCATATACAAGACATGGTATTTGGTATAATGTCTAGAGTGTTGCACTTAGAGTCAGTAAGACCTTGATTTGCTTTCTACCTCAGGCACTTAACTAGCTGGGTAACTGAACAAATCCCCTTGCCTCTCTGGGTTTTAGTTTCCTTATCTATAAAATGAGGAGGTTGAACTCAATGACCTCTAAGGACCTTTCAAGTTCTAAATTTATGATATTATGAAATCTCATGTGTGTGTGTGTGTGTGTGTGTGTTGATAAGTTAACTCCCAGATTTTTATTATGCATTTTGTAGTTACTTTGAATGGAATTTCTCTTACTATCATCTATTCCCATTTTTGTTTACTATATAAAAATTCTATTTTTTAAGAATTCAATTCTTTGAGGTTTCCTTAAACTTAATCACATTATCTACATTTAAGGATAGTTTTTTTTTTCTTTTCTTTGTTAATATTTATATCTTTGAATTTTTCCTGGTCTCATTGTGATAACTAACATTTCTAGAACTATGTCAAATAATCATGGGGAGAGAAGACTTCTATGCTTCATCTTTGTTTGTACTAGAAAAGCTTCTAGCATTTTTCCTTTACAAAGAATGCTGGTTCTTACTTTTTAATATATGTTTTTGATCATATTTAAGGAGAGTTTTTCATATATATGATTTTTAGGATTTTTATCACAAGTGAATCTGAATTTTTTCAAAGATTTATATGAACTGATACAAAGTGAAATAAGCAGAACCACAAAACTATGCAAAATGACCGCAACAATAAAAAGGGAAAGAACAACAACAAATTTAAAACTGAATGTTGTATTATTATAATGGTCCTGAAAAAAGAGATAAGATGAGCACTTCTCGCCCTGCTTTGCAGAGGTGAAGAGTTATGGGTATGTAACACTCCACATACTCTCAGTCTTGATTAATTTGTTGTTTTGTTTTTCTAAACTACTTTTTTTCTCTTGCTATTTTATCCTCTATTACAAGGGATGGTATTCTGAATGGGAGAGAGAAAAGGATATGATGGTAAATGAAAACAAAGTAAAAACAAAATATGTCAATAACCTTTTATTTTAAGTTTATGGAGGTCAAGCCCTCCATGCCCACTTTGAAGGCATTAGATCTTGTTTATACAGTTTGGGATATGGAAGAACATTATGAGACCATGTGGTCATTTTCTGTATTCACAGGAAGTGAATAGTAATCACTTCCACTGCAACCACAATAATTGCTCAGACAGTCTCTGGTTGAAGTCCTACAATGATAGTAAACCTCATTACCTCCATCAAATATATATATGCATATATATATATATATTAATACTGTACTCTGCAACTAGGCACCAATCTTCCAGAAATGATTTTATTTAATTTACAATTATCTAATTCTTAAGTCATTTCAGACTTCAAGAGAGAGAGATATTCAGAATGATATAGTTTCTCTATGTTCTCCATCATGCCTCTGCCTCAAGATGTTTTTAGATGTTTAATATGAATGTCACTCAAGGAAAAGATAATAATGTTAAAATAGAGTTCTGGGTTAATGCGCCAAAAGGGTCACCATTCAGTTCCTTCCTTGGACCATTTTCTGCAAGTACTGAAAAGGATTTCCTTTCTGAATGCAGTATCTTAACTTTAAAAAAAAAAAAAGAGGGCACACTGTTGTTGATAAGTGCATAAGCAATGATCTTGGGTAAACCAGAGGTACTATACTCTTAGTGAAATTTCAGGTTACCACCCTTAAACCAGGTACCTAATGAAAGGTCTTTTTTTTTTTTTTTTGGTCCCGACTTATTTCATCTTCAAACAGGGTAAAAAATGGGCTCTTAATTAGGGCAGAGATAAAATTATTTCATAATATTTTCAGTTTTACAAATAAGAGGTTTTTTTAAATACCTTCCATTCTCCCAAAGCAACCTATTCTATTGCTTTTTAGGCTCCAGGTTTCACAGTAAAGAGAAAAACATTTATCTCATAGATTAAATACTAACAAACTCCTCTTGCTCATTTAACACACCAACAGGAGCACAGTGATTGTTTATGAGATTCAACATAACATTTTTCATCTATTTATTGAGAAAATTTTGATGGTTCCACAGTCATTTCCTTTATAAATAGCTTTCTTCTCCTCCTCCCAAAAAAAATTATCTATGGGATTATCTATGCTTTAAAATATATTTCCATGATAACATGAAAGAGGATGATGGATGTAGAAAGAAGCACTAACATGGAAAAATGGTCTCTAGGCATCCCATGCTGGTGCCCTACTCAGGCCAGTACTTATCAAAGTACTTATCAGTAGTATCAAACTCAAATAGAAAAAGAGATCACTAAACCATATATAAGGATCCTTGCTGGTTGCATATTGACTTAGAAAATCACATATTAACATGATGTAAGATCATATTTTTATTTATTTTATTAAATATTTACCAAATACATTTTAACTGGACTTGAGAGACCCCATGGGGTCTAAGGGCTACATGTTTGAAGCTCTACTCTAAGTGGCAAAGCCTTTACAGACTTCTGGTGGAAGGTTGTTCCCTGAATAAGAATGTCATAGATAGGCAACATGGTGAATACAACCCTGAACTTAGAGTCAAGAAGATCTGATTTCAGATCCTATCTCCAACCATCACTGTTATGACCATGAATGGCAAGATCCCTTAACATTTCTGAGCATCAGTTTCTCCATCAGAAAAATGAGAATAGTAATCTCTGTCGTACCTACCTCACAGGTTAATTGTAAGGCTCAAAGTAGGTAATATATTGTGTAAGGTGCCTAAATAGCACTTAAAATGCTATGTGTGTCAGTTACTAATATTTTCTATGACCACTGATATGAGTTCTATTTGTTTTCTTAAATTTGTACGTTACTTGATCCAGGTGGGGTATACAGGCATTCAGGGAAGACCTCTGGTGTGAGGTCTGCCAAGCCCTTTTCAGGGCTGCTTTCCACCTTTGGTGTCCACCTATCACCCAATTCTCACCTGTGACTCCAGGAAATAGCAGCAGCCATGCCCCAAGTAAACCGTTTTGGCAGACAGGCTAAAAGAGTAACCAACACTCAAACTAACCAGTGAGTTAGTGGGGTATCTACCCCAAGCACACGAATATGGAGCAGTGAACTCTTATTATGGAATAGACAAATGTGAACAATTTGTTCCAACGGGCCACGAAGGTGGTAGAAGCAGGCACTGTGGAGCACTGAGACATTATGATGACATTAAGATCATCCACTGTGTCCTGGGCAATCATTAGTCATATTGACTTTTATCTTGCCACTGGACTTTGATGACTCTGGAAGAGAGAGTGAACTTGATGACTTTGTGTAATTCTGCCTCAGTTAAATCCAATTTCTGTGTGAGTCAAAAGACATCACCCATACCATTTTACCTCGAAGTCCTGTGTTGACAGGCAAGTGACTAAGCAGCAGGTATAGATACCCTGGGAGCTGTAGTAACAACCCTGCACACAGACAACCCAGGTCACA